TAAAGATAACTCAAATTGCTTGCAAATAAACCAGATTATGGAGATAAAGACAATGTGCCTTGAGGCTAAATTGAAGGCAAATGAAATTACATTGTAAATTATTCAGATTGCCAAAGGAGCCGTGTTACGATTTTAAAACAAACTAATTGGATTTCGGACCAAAACGTGAAGGGTTTCACGCGACCATGAAAGTTTAATGTATTTCGGTAAAATATGTGTAGAAATATATATGTATAACTAACAAGGAAATTACCGCAAGTGCAATGAATAGATTTTCTTTAAATTTTGTACACACGTCAGGCATAAACTGAATATAAATCGCTGAAAGTTTTACTCGCGCTTTGCAAGAGCAGCCGAGATATTCAACAATCTTTGCGGCCGAGAGAGTACGCGAAATGCGGGGAGCGTTAGAGAAAAATCACCCTTTCTCCGTAACTATGCCAGTTTCGTGCTAAGAAAACATTAATTTCTTTGTACACGTTACACTCTACGGGTCAAACTGGTGTGTAACTTTTCATGCCAAGATTCGCAAAAAAGTGTCAGATTTTTCCCAACTTTTGATCTAAAAATCTTGACCATTTCTGCAACACGTAAGCTTAGAATTTCGCAGATATCTTAACAAAAATTATACTAAATTTACGACAATTTTCATCAAAATCTGAGTGTCGCATTTGGAGCACTTTCTCCACAAAACATATACAGGGTGCGCCAAAAATATTGGGACTCATATTTTTACTTGCCCTGCGGGCTGTAATGGTACAAGAGCAAAGTGGTCGCTTGTGCAAACGTGCAATGCTCCCAAGAATCTATCTTCAAAGTTTCAGACAGAGTAGTCGTATACGACACCTGTTCTGCCATTATAAGTGCTCACAACTAAGGCCCCTGAGACACGGACCCCAAAATGGATAAAAATTGGAAACACTAGTTTTACCGTTGCATGCTATGGCAGAAATTCACTTTATATGACAGAGTAGCGGTCGCTTTTTACACAATAAAAATGATTTTTACCTGTAATGACAATTACATCTTTTACAGCCCGTCAAAGTCCGCCTAAAAACGCGCCGTTTTCCAGAAAACTTCCGTAAGATCAAAGATTTTTATGTAGAAGTTTCCATGTAAGGTTCCCAGCGTATTAGGCATCAGAGATATTTTTATAAGGGCAACGAGAGTCTGACTAGTCGTCTTTGAAAAATTATTTTTTTATCTTCTGCCTCTGGGGGATGAAATAGTGACTACAGCGGTAGAATTTACTCTAAGGTTGCTCGTCAAGTGAGCTTGGACTGAAGATCGCTAAAAGTAATTCAGTTGTGTCAGCATGTATCCCGAGTACAGCGTTACGTCGATTTTTACGCTCAAGTACTTTTCAACTTGTAGTAAACTGCCAAAATATATCAAGCTTCGAAGGACCGTGCCTCCAATCCGCACCATAAAGTTTTTTCCATACAGAAACTGTCCCCTTGTAGGTGTACTTTTTCTTTTACAGTATGACAATTCCCTATGTACACACTCTATAACCACACAATTTTAGAGCAACACGGGCGATACTGTGGTATTGAGATCGTTAAAAACATAAAAATCCGAACTTTCGGGATTTTTTTTTTGTTTTTTCGACCAGCGCCGCCATATCGGTCGTCAACCATGATTACATACGTTGTTACGAAGTGAATAGCGTGTGCTTTCTACACAATAAATTTGAAGGATCTTACTTTCCCTTAGCGGAAATAATGGCCAAATTGATTTCCCGGTCATCCACTTGAAAAGAAAATTTCGGTCCCCCAAAAACTTTTGAATATTTTTTCAAGTTTGCAATAAGCCCCAACCCTGGCATAACCGTTGCCGTATAGCAAGACTGTTACCCTTGCAAAAACGGCCAAAAGTTTTGATTCCAAGGCCAGCCGAAAAAAGCTACACGGAATTGATTTTTGTCCCAATATTTTTGGCGCACCCTGTACAGTGGCTGACCTGATACAGCCTGGCAAAGCCGATTGATTCTCGGCGAAGGCTCGGCGGAGGCTGGGCGGAGACTTGGCCAAGGCTTGCAATACAGTTACGGGCCTGATACAATCGCAAAAAACGTACCATTTTGCATCCGGGAGGAGATCACAAATGCAGAAAAATGACTCCCTTTCCAAATGAAAAAACACAAATTTCAAATGCGCGCCTGCTCTTTTTGTGAGGGCGTTTTTCAAAACGGAATTTTTCTAGTTGACGCTGGAGGCATTTTGCTACATTTTTTGATACTTCCCGGATGCAAAATGGTACGTTTTTTGCCACTGGACCAGGTCCGTCACTGTAGACCAAATATGGAAATGCGAGCTTTCAAGAAGTTCTATGAATTTAGCAAAAGAAACGACTCATCCGCTAAGTTACATAACCGCTCTGAAATTGCAATTCGAGCAGGTAACTTAATAATCACATAGCCATTAAAACGTTAATTAGCAATGGTTTAAAAATTTTGCTTTAAAATGAAACGCGCCAATTTTTCGATGCGAAAATAATGACGTCAAAATGAAGATCAATCAAAGTAAAATTAAACTGACGGGGAGTTAAAACGCTTATAAAGTCTGACAAAGCAGCAGACACAAAAATCAAACTAATTGTGGTAAAAATGTACCCTTCATTTTGCTGATGTTTCGGTAAAATTTTTAACATGGTGTTTGAGCTGTTGCTAGTGTAAAAATTGAAATACCAAAATTCAAAAAATGAAGTCAAGTTTTTTTGTAATGCATAAAATGGTGTTTAAAGTAACGGTGGCTCGGACGTGAAACCGTTTTTGGAATAGTTTAAAAAAGGGTTTTTGGAGCGTTTCGCTGGCTAATACCCATTTTTGGTACATTAGAGTACACTAGCGGTCCTAATACATAGTGGCCGACACGATTTTCGGCTCGGCGCGGCCCGAGAGTCATGTCTAGCTCCGATAGGCCCCCACATTCCACACTCCGGCATATTCTTTGTCTTATATCTGCAAACGAAGCTAGGCACCAACGGCTAGCGGCGGCTGGAGATTTGGTGCGAGACTGCGACAAGGTGAAATGGTACGACAAATCCGCATTATTCTCCAGACAGACGAATATGAACCCAATTTTGGGTCAAGTCTTCCTCTGCGCCCACATAAATGACAATTCGTTCAGAGGCATTTTTTGCGACAAATCCGCATTATTTCCCGAACATTTTTTTACGTTTTGCCTCGTCGAAAATTCCAGCTGCAACTAGCGGTCGCAAAGAGATGATGAGTGATTCCAAGGCGACCCGCCACTATTTTCCCGACATTCTGATAAATCTACCATTTTTTGAAAATACAATACTGCTCAAGAAATACGGAGAAAGCTCTAAACAGAGCAACATCTCTAAAACATATTAATTAAACTCACAAGGGAAGTACTCCAAGTGCGACGCTCAGATTTTCTTAAAATTTTGCACACACTTTGGGCATGGGCGAAATATCAATTCCTGAAAGTTTTAGCTCGCACTTTGCGGGCGCCGCCGAGAAATCGAACGATTTTTCCCGCTGAGAGAGCACGCTAAACGTGGAGAGCGGTCAGAGAGAAAACCGCTTTTTGGCCATAACTTTGGCAGTTTCGTGCGGAAAATTTCGATTTTTTGCAGAAACATTATACCTTACGGTTGAAATAGGCATGAAACTTTTCGTGCCGAAATTCGGCAAAAAGTCCTAAATTTTGGCCGACTTTCGATCTAAAAATCTCGGTTGTTTCTGCAAAGCGCGAGCTAGGATTCTCGCATATATCTTCGAAAACATTATTCTAAATTTGTGCCAAGTTTCATAAAAATCTGAGCGTCGCACTTGGAGTACTTCCCCTGTGAATACCCGCAAAAGAAAAAGGCACAAACCGAAAAGTTTGCTAAAAGCGGAAACAAATCTACCATTATTTGAAAATACAATACTCCTCAAGAAATACGGAGAAAGCTCTAAACAGAGCAACATCTCTAAAACATATTAATCAAACTCAACACAAAAAAGATTAGCAAGGAAAATGATTCATTTCTCGGGATTTTTAATGGGCTTACTCAGCGTTGCTTCCGAAATTAGGCCCACGTATTGTGATTCACTTTTTTTGGAAACTTTATGACGTCATAAAGCTTATCAGTTCCGTTTGATTTTTCGTTCAAAACACCCTTAAACCGAAATCTTTATGTCTTTGAATTTCATTGAAACTTCGCCTTTAGAGATGGAATTTCTGACGTGGTTGAAGGACAAAGAATATTTTGCATTTTTTCGGGTAAATGTGGCCAGAAAAATCGCTCAAAATTATTATGATTTTTATTAAAATTTTCTGTTTAAATTCTCGTTACAAAGCAAGGGTTCTTGAGCAAATTAGTTGACAAAAAACGTATCAAGTTTCGCAGGAATCGTTACAAAATTGAATGTGAAGAGAAGAGGGATCGGACCCGTAGAGAAATACTTACTAATCAGACAAGTATATCCAGTAAAATAAGTTACAATCTAAGTCATTCTAAAAAGTAAAAAAAACAAAAAAAAAATACAAAAAAAATGAGATCAAATTGGTGACGTACAGAGAAAAATTAAGAGAAAAATCGACAGGAAAATAACCTTTTAGCCTAACAAAAAATTTTAGTTCCGAAAGGGTTACTGTAACGAAATTTTTTGAGTGAAAAAATCCTTCCAAAATTCACGATGTAAAATCTTGTATACAGGACCTGGTACAGTGGCAAAAAAGGTGCCATTTTGCATCCGGGAAGTATCAAAAAATGTGGCAAAATGCCTCCCTCTCCAAGTGAAAAAACTTTGTTTTGAAATCTCAGTTTTTTCCCTTGGAAAGGGAGGTATTTTGCCACATTTTTTGATACTTCCCGGATGCAAAATGATACGTTTTTTGCCACTGGATCAGGTCCAAACTTGTAATTCAAGAAAAGACTACCCGTTTTTCGCGCAACAACACTGAAATTTAGCCATATCTGAAGTTAATATGAACGAATAATATCGAATAACTGGATATATGACATCCAAAACCTGGACATCCTCATAAATTAGTGCTCTGATGCGACGGAGAAGAGCACGAAGACTGCGCGGGGCTGTGGGAATTCGTAAATCGATCGCTGAGTGGTGTGCCGGGCGCGGTTTTCACCTGAAACAAGAGGGAATTCCGGTTGTCCGGCTGCTTGATTTGGATGTCCGAGCCGAGGCCGAGCAGTTGTTCGCGCTCCGTTTGCTCCATCGACTCCAGGCGAATTCGATCTCGCTCTTGTTGGGCTTCCAATTCGGCGACTTGGGCCGCTCTTTCTCGCTCGAATCGCATTCGATCGTCTTGGATCTGAAATTTTTGGGGTAAAAATGAAAAATTAAAAAAAAAATGAAAAATTTTTTTAAAATAATGAAAAAATTTTTAAAAATAATGAAAAATTTTTTTTTTACAAAAAATGAAAAATCAAAAAGACATTTTAGATTATGATGAGGATAGATTTTTAGGTATAAAAAAATAAGATTTTTAAGTTGAAAAATGACAAAAAATCGATTTTTTTAGGTTTTCGGGTAAAAAATTTACTTTATCAGGTTTTTTGAGCCCTTTTTTACAACAATTTTTAAAAAAACTTTTTTTTTATTTTTTTTTTTCGTCTTAAAAATCCCAAAAAACGAAATTTTTTGCATTTTTCGACCTAAAAATCTCGATTATTTTTGGGAAATTAAAAAATGAAAAAAAAAATTCTTTTTTCATCTAATCCCAAAAACTCAATTTTTTTGCATTTTTCGACCTAAAAATCTCGATTATTTTCGGGAAATTAAAAAATAAAAAAAAAAAAAAAAAATTTTTTTTCTTCAAATCCCAAAAATCACCCAAATTTACCTTCTGCATGAGAGCGGTGCGTTTTTTGCTCCACGTTGCGTTCAAATTCTCCAATTCTCGTTCACAAGTCGCTTCCAGACTGACTTTTTGGCGTTCCTGGAACTCGGTGAGAAGGTTCATTTCGTGGCTGAGTTTGTCGGTGAGGGCTTTCATCTCCTCTTCTTGGCCGGTGTCCAGTTGGATGTGTTGTTCGGACATCATTTTTTGGATACTTTCTTCGTATTGGATGGCCAGTTGGGTGATTTTCCGGTTTTGTTCTTCTTTTAGGCTAAAATGAGATGGATAAATTGTTTTAATCGTGAAAAAAATGTAATTTTTTCAAAAAAAGTTTGATTTTTTTTTCAAAAAAGTTTTTGATTTTTTTCAAATAATTTTTTTATTTTTTTTTGAAAAAATTTTTTGTTTTTTTTCAAATAATTTTTTGATTTTTTAAAATTTTTATTTTTTCAAATTTTTTTTTCCATTTTTTTTCAAAAAATTTTTTGATTTTTTTAAAAAACATTTTTTTTGGATTTTTCAATAAATTTTTTATTTTTTCAAATTTTTTTTTCGATTTTTAAAAAAAAAATATGATTTGAAAAAAAAATTTTTTGATTTTTTTAATTTTTTTTTCTATCCAACATTCTAGCTTCAAAAAATCATCAAATTTCCCTTCGAATCCCCCAAAAACTCTTCTCAAAACCCCCCTTCTCACCGATTGACCACTTCCTTTTGCTCGGCTCTCGGTGTATTTTGTTGAACTTGTTGTTGTAGGACCTTGTACTGCCTTGCTTGTACCTTCACCGTATGCCTCAATTGCTTCTTGATCTGTTGTTCCTTCAACTTCAATTCCCTGGGTAAATTGCGTTGTCGGACAGCGTGTTGTTTCTTCAGTTCGTCGAGGGCTCGCTTCGTGTAGTCTCTTTGATTCGTCAGCTCCGATTCATGCTGCACTTTCAGGTGGCGTTTTTTCATCTCGGCGCATTCGCGGAAGTGCTGCAGGGCCTGGTCGAAGGCGGCTTTGTGGTGGTGGAGGAGCATTTGTTCGATCACTTCGAGTTGGCGGGTTCGCACGGAGTGCTCCTGAAAAAAAAATTTAAAAATAAAAAAATCAAAAAATCGAAAAAAAAATAAAAAAATTTAATTTAACTTTTAAAAAATAAAAAAAATCCTTTAAAAAAATCGAAAAATAAATTAAATTTTAAAAAAAATAAAAAATTTAAATTAAATCTTAAAAGAATAAAAAAAATTTTAACTTTAAAAAAATAGAAAAAAAATTATTTTTTAAAAAATAAAAAAAATTTAATTAAAAAAAATAAAAAATTAGTCGACGAATTTTTCTTTTTTAATGCAGAAAAAATCGATTTCTATGCCAAAAATCGCCAAATCTTTTTTTTTTTTTTTTTTTTTTTTTCGCTATTTTCGACAAAAAATCGTAAAATCCGAAAATTTCCGATATCAAAATTTTCCATCGACATTTTTAAAGTCAAAAATTTTCATAAAAATTTCAAAAAAAATTTATTTTTCACCAAAAAAATCCCCCATTTCCCCTTCAAAACCAACTCACATCAGCCAACAACTTGTGCTCCAATCCCTGATAGTCGCTCTGGCTTCGATGTCGGAGTTCGCTCAATTCATTTAGCATGTGGACCTTCTGTTCAGCGATATATTGTCGTTCCGCGTTGCCCCATTGTTGCATCAAATCGGCTTTTGTGTTTCGAATCGCTTCTTCTAAACTCGATTTTCGGAGGCCTCGTTCTTTGAATTGCTGAAAAAAATCGAAAAAATAAATAAAATTTCAAAAAAAATGACAAAATTTTTAAAAAAATGGGAAATTTTGCGATAAAAAAGACAAAAAATAGGTTAGTAACTGTTTATTCTCATCAGAGTCGGAAGATATTGCGTCAATAGATGATAGACTGGTTAGTGAGGAGGATGATGAGAGGGAGAGAGACGTGAGAGAGTCAGAGATGGACAGAGACGACTGAAAAGGGTAGATTTATGGGGGAAATAGGCAAAAATTGAGAGGAAATCTCAAAAATCTCGATAAAAAAACAATTTTTTAGTAAAACAAAAAATTTCATAGAAAAAACTCGCTATAGTGAACAAGAAAAACACACCAGACAAAAATAAAATTTTGGCTTTTCTAAAAAATTTTTTTTTAATTTAAAAAATTTTTGGCGGACGGCTTCGGCTTCGGACTTTTTTTTTAAAATGTAAAAATTTCGTTTTAACAAAAAATCTAGCTGACAAAAAGTTCTCATCCTGTCAAAAAAATCAAATTTTTCAAAAATTTTTGTAAAACAAAAAAAAAATTTTTGACCGAATATATCATTCCACATTTTGAACTCCTCAAATCATTCCAAACTCTGCTCAAAAAATCCCAAAAACTAGGAGAAATTCAAAAAAATTCCCAAAATTTTTAATTCACAAGGGAAGTACCCCAAGTGCGACGCTCCGATTTTCTTTAAATTTTGAGCACACGTCGGGCATGAACTAAATAACAATTCCTGGAAGTTTTAGTTCGCGCTTTTCAGGCGCCGCCGAGATATTGAACGATCTTTGCCGCCGAGAGAGTACGCTAAGCACGGAGAGCGGACAGAGAGAAAAGCACTTTTTGGCCATAACTTTTCTTGTTTCGTGCGGAAAAAATTGATTTTATGTGGAAACATTACCCTCCATGGTAGAAATAGGCACGCAACTTTTCGTGCCGAAATTCGGCAACAAGTGTCAAATTTTCGCCCACTTTCGATCTAAAAATCTCGGTTGTTTCTGCAAAGCGCGAGCTAGGATTCTCGCATATATTTTAGAAAAAATCATTCTAAATTTGTGCCAAGTTTCATCAAAATCTGAGCGTCGCACTTGGGGTACTTCCCCTGTCAGTCAAAAAAAATCCGATTTTTCAAAAAATTTTTTTGATTGGATATGAACAGTTACATCCTGAATTTCTCAAACCACCCCAAACATTTCTTAAAATTGGCCAAAAATTAGGATAAATTCAAAAAACTTCCCAAAATTTTTAATTCCGAAAAATTTTTTCAACCAGAAAAAAAATATTTTTTGATTGGATGTGAACAGTTACATCTTGAATTTTTCAAATCATTCCAAACTTTTCTTAAAATTAGCCAACATCAGGATAAATTCAAAAAAATTCCCAAAATTTTTAATTCCGTCAAAAAAATTCGATTTTTCAAAAATTTTGTAAAACAGAAAAAAAAATTTCGATTGGATATGAACAGTTACACCTTGAATTTTTCAAATCACCCCAAACTTTTCTTAAAATTAGCCAAAATCAGGATAAATTCAAAAAAATTCCCAAAATTTTTAATTCCGTCAAAAAAAATCCAATTTTTCAAAAAATTTCATCGAAGAGAAAAAAAAATTTTTGATTTAATATGACCAGTTACATCCTGAATTCCTCAAATCACCCCAAACTTTTCTTAAAATTAGCTAAAAATCAGGATAAATTCAAAAAAAAAACGCTAAAAGTGCCAAATTCTGTCAAAAAAAATCCGATTTTTCAAAAAAAATTTTCAAACAGAAAAAAATTTTTTTGATTTAATATGGCCAATGACACTTCGAAATCCTCAAATCATTTCAAACTGTGCCCAAAACATCCAAAAACCCCCAAAATTCCTCAAAATCCCACCTTTTTCGCCTGTTCCTTGTTGAACTTGTATTCCCTCTTTTGGCACTGCGTGAAGCTCTTCAATTCATGTTCGTTGGCATTGACTCTTTGTTTCCTCGTCTTCTTCACACACTCCTCATTCTCTCGGGTCTTTTTTTCCAGCTGATTTTGATGGTTTTGGCGGATTTTTTGCATTTCTTTTTGGGCGGCCGCCAAAAACTGTTCGTATTCCTTTTCCTGTTTTTGGCGCACGGCTTCGGCTTCGAACTTGCACTTCTCCTCCAGCTGTTGTTGTTCTTTGTGGTGGTATTGGCGGAGGCGCTGGTAGCCGTGCATTTGTTCTTTGGCGTTGTTTTCGCGGCGCGCTTCCTCGATTTCGCGGGAGACCACTTTGGTCGGGCGGAGAGTGGAGAATTTGGAGCGGCGCAGCGTGTTGATCTCTTCGTTCATGTCTCGGGGCTAAAATACCGGGATTTTAGGCAAAAATGAGTCAATTTTGAGAAAAGACTGTAAAAAAAAATTCATTTTTTTTGCAAAATTTTTGATTTTTACGCCCAAAGATGCCGAAAATTCGAACTTTTTCTCAATTTTTGGGGCAAAAAATCAACAAAAATTTTTTTTTGCATATCTACGTTCATGTCTCGGAGATAAAATACGGGGATTTTAAACAAAAATAAAACAATTTTGAGAAAAAAATAAAAATTTTTTTTATTTTTTTTCGAAAACTAATATTTTTATGCCCAAAAATGCCAAAAATCCGAAGTTTTTCTTGATTTTTTTAGGAAGAAACCAACAAAAAAAATTTTCTGCGTTCCTACGTTCATGCCTCGGGGCTAAAACACGGGGATTTAAAAAAAAATAAAACAATTTTGAGAAAGAAAATTAAAAAAAAAAAAAAAAATTCTTTTTTTGAAAAATAAAAATTTTTATGTCCAAAAATGCCAAAAATCAAAAAATTTTCTCAATTTTTTGGGCAAAAAATCAACAAAAAAATATTTTTAAAACTTTTCGACTGTTTCTGATCAAAAATTCGCAATTTTTCTCAAAAAAAATTTACCTTACTTTAGCCCAAATTTCTCGAATTTAATCTTTTTCCCCAAAAAATCGTTCAAATTCTAATCAAAAACCCTCCCAAGTTCCCTTAAAATAACTTTCAACTCCAATTCTCCCCCAAAAACCCCAAATCTCACCTCAATTTTCCTCGAATTTGCGGACGAATCGCTTCCAAACCGTCCATTCTGTTCCGTTTCATTTGTCTCATCGGTTTCCGAGACACTGATCACCGTTCTGTTCTTGGCTTTGGCTTCTTTTCCCTCCTCCATGTCCACAGATTCGGTTTCATTCTCCGTGATCACCAAGTTCGATCCCGACTCCGAGCTCAGACTTCCGTTATTTTGTTCCCTCAGCCGTTTCACACTGGGATTTGGAGTCGACAACGTGTCAGCGTCATCTTCATCGGGAACAACGACGATTTCGATGGAGTCGTCGATCTGCGGGGCGGTCGGTTGGCGTCTTTTTGGGGCCGTCGAGACGAAACACGTCTCTTCCGGGTCAGATTCTTCATCCGAGAGGGTGCCGGCTAAAATTTTTGACGATAAATTCATTTTCTTATCTTCGATTTCATCTGATTTTACCTAAAAACCAACAAAAAAGAACAAAAAATTACCTGAATTCGCTCCTTCGAGATAAAAAATCTTCTTCATCTTGGTGTACATGTCACTGTCCAATTTGAGTACCCGTTTTTTGGTGTGTCTCACCAACTTGGACATGATATTTCGATTCCTCGGCCTTTGAATGAACCCATGCTGAAAAAAACCGCCAATAAAAAAAAAAAAAAATTTTCCTGCCTATTACAATATAAAAATTTTCGCATCACCTACATTCTTGCATTCTACGGCCGACATTCGATCACTGGGCTCCTTTTTGAGGCATTTGCTGACAAAATCGATCATTTCCTCGGATCGGACCACCTCCGTGTAGACTGGATGAGTTCTGGACAAGGTGGGTGGGTCATTCTGAGCGATGTGATAGAGAGCGGACATGGTGTTTAGGTCGTACAGAGGTGGTCGACGATCCGCCAGCTCAATAAGCGTGATTCCAAAGGACCAGAGGTCGGCTTGAGTTCCATATTCACCCTCTTCCATCGCCAAAATGACTTCTGGAGCCATCCTAAAGACAGAATATCAAAAATTGGAAAAAAACATACCAATATGGTGAGCCGACAAAAGAATTGGCGGGCGAATGCATCGAAGCTGATCCCACATCACCCAATTTGACTACTCCATCGTCGGTGATCAAGATATTGCCGGCTTTCACGTCTCTGTGGATGTATTTGAAGCCGTGGATGTACTCCAGCGCGTCCAAAGTCTGCTCCGCAATCTCGGCGATCGCATCTTCAACCAGTTGGTCCTTAAACACCCCAATGATATCCGACGCGGAGCCTATGCAGTACTCCATGACCATCCAGCAAGTGTAGTCTTTGAGGAAACAGGCGCGATATTGGACTATGTGCTTGTGACGGATGGAGCGCAAAAACCGCACCTCTTTTATAATGTCCAACCACTTCTCCTGCGCGTCCTTGCCATTGAAGTTCATCTTCTTGATCGCCACCGTCTCATTGTTCTCCTTGTCCTGGGCCTGAAGAAAAATATTATTTTAGGTATCAAGTATAATATTAATGAATAAAACATCAAAACAACGGGTAATGGAATTAGCAAACACCAGAATCAACCAAAAACAGTCTATTTTAGCTATATTTATTAGCTATACATGTTTTTTAACCATAAAAATTTTTCTATAACAAATTGTTTTCTATAACAATATCTCTATGTAACACAAAAATTAGACAATCCAGAGAAAGTTTTCAATGCTGAAAACATGCTCCATGCCATAAACTCGCTTCAGAAAGATAAAAACGCCATAAACGAATCCGTTTGAAAGAGATCTTACGATATTATTCACCCCGAGACCAAGTACAATATAAAATTTCACTCACAAAGCCTCAATCGAGCTAATCCCTTCCTAAATCATAGAACCAATAATAACAAAAACTTACGTAGTAAACACTGCCAAAAGATCCGCTTCCAACCTCTCTCAAATCGCAATACCGTTGTTCCGGGTCCTTCGTGGAGAAGAGCTGGGCAATCTCCGGGTCTTTGAGACTACCGGGCTTCAGCCGCACTGCCGCCGGCATCTCCGCAAAATCAGTGGTTTAGTCGAGTCAGTTTGATAACAAGGTTTGTTACCTAAAAATAGCAATATTATTTTAGGTAACAAATTTTACCAAATCAGCTGGAAATAATGTAAAATCCCGATAAAAAGATTAATTGGGTTTAGTTCGAGGATTGCACGATTTCAAGCCGTTTTCGAAAGGATCCGCAGAATGTTTTGCACTAACGTTCGTAACGCACAAAACTTTTGTGGAATGCGAAAATGATAAGATTTCCCGATTGCTCGAGCTGATAAACCCTTCTCGAGGCCCATGTGGGTGTGTAATTCGCAAATATTAATTTCGGGCATAAGCCCAAGCGATAACGGCTACATAATTTATATTATACTAGGTGGAAATTGAAAAAAGACGGCCAAAAGAGTCGAAACAGGCGAAAATAAAATGTAAAGCAACAAAAAAAGTGGGGTAACGGGTTGAATGGGAGATTCCGAATGGCATTCATGAACAACGTTCCTTTTCTTCACCACAAAAAAGGAAAAATAAAACCGCGTCCAGAAAACCCGTCATCCCGATGCGAATTCTGACGAAATTTTAGGAATTTCGGGAAAATAAAAATTCGTTTTGTCAATCGGACACTGCGAAGTAATGTTATACATAAATCATGTTCTAATATTGTATTTTAAAAGAGTCATGATGACGGATTTTCTGGAAATCACCGAAAATATATGCAAATCGCAAAGGCAGAACATCTGGCGGCCCCAATGGCTCCGCTGAAGAGAGATTAGCCGGGATTTCAAATTAAAAATGCTCTTTTCATCTAATCCGACCAGTTTCATATGCTTTTATATTAAACCTGCCATGGATAATATAATAAACCCTAGTTTTAAGTGTTTACCGCAATATTCTTTAATTACAAACCTCTTCAAACATCCCCTAAAGGAACACGAGACAAGAATAAAGCAAAAAATTTGAAAACTTTTTGTTCATAACGTCATTGAGAAGAATCCCATAAATTCCGACCAAATCCTGTTATCAGTCCGCTGTAATGGTGACTAATCGCGGCCATTCGTCAGTCAATTTTTTGTTTTCAGCCTGAGGGCTTGGTTCCAAGGGGTTTTCTCGCTGTATTGTAAAGAATAAAAATTTTTTTTTGTTCGGGAATTTGGAGAAAAATGATTTTTTTTATAAAAAAAGGAGATAAAAATGGGAAATACAGTAAGATTTTGGTAGAGAATGGACGAGATAAACGCATGAAAACATCATAAAAAGAAGACAAAAAAATTTTTTTTTGAGATTTTTAAAATTTTTTACAAAAAATTTCAAAAATATTACTTTAAATTTCCCCGGCGGCTTGTTTGTAGTTTAGTTATTGTATACTCAGTTACTCAACGCCCCTTCTAATCGTCATTTTTCTCGCCAAAATCAAGTGCAAATATAAAAATTAGTCATTACTGACTAATTTCGTCCTTCCAGAGGCAATAAAATGAGTAAAAACTCGAATCGGAGCGCAAAAAAGAGAGAGTTTCAGACAGATTTTTTAACGAAAATTTTAAAATAAACTTTTAAAAAATAAAAATTTCGAGGAGAAATCAAGATTTTCGTATCACCATTTTTGGGGTCGACGGCAGTTCGGGTCCACAAAAAAATGATCGATACGGAGCGTAGAGCAAATGGATACCCAAAAAAAAAGTTGTAGGAAGTGCCTACGAGGCCTGGAGAAGCCCTTGGATGGTCGGCGGAGGCTCGGCGAAGGCTCGGCGGAGACTTGAAATAAGTCCGTGGAAATTCAAACTTCGAAAAAAAATTTAATTTTTTTTTTCAATTTTTTCATATTTTAATTTTAATTTCCGCCCTTTCTTGACCACAAATTAGTTTCTAAAAATTTCGCGTCCCAACTATTCGGGTCGATAACAGTTCGGGGCAACACAAAATCGCTCAATACGCCCTGTAGCAGTCTGAAATTTAGGTGGATACCCGAAAAAAGGTTGTAGGAAGTGCCTACGAGGCCTGACAAAGCCGTTGGAAGGTCGGCGAAGGCTCGGCGGAGGCTTGGCGGAGACTTGGCGGAGACTTCGCGAAGGCTTGCAATATGTCTACCTTTTCTAATCTTAGCTGTCACTAACGTTATTTTTCTTTACCCTGAGTTATTGTGACATATAAAAAACCAAAATTTGCGGCAAAAAAACAAAGATCCATAACTTTTACTTAGATATTATCAATGTGAGTACATGTAAAATACCTCAAAATAGGCGATAAGCTATCCTAGGACCCGATCAATCTTTTTATTTCCAAGCTTTCTTCTAGCCTCCTCCATGCACACAATGACGAATCGACGCAATACATAGTACCGCCGATCTACAGTACTACGTATTGCGTCGCTGTCCCGAAAGTCGTAGCGCAAAAAATCGTAATTTTTGAGCTAAAAATTTCGATCAATCTTGTAAAAGGAGGGCATCAAAATTTTTGAAAAAAATTATTAAAAAAATCACTCCCAAAACCCCCAAACCATCGTATAAAATGTCGCCCAGACAATTCTTATACAGATTCCAATCAAAAAAGTAAAAACTGAACGGGAGAAGAGAGCTTTTTACTACAAAATAAAAATTTATTGAAATCCTGCGGGTCGTTTGGAAAAGTGGCGGAGAATCATAAAAAAACTGGGAAAAAGCGGGGAAACAGCTTTGATCGAGATCAATAGAGGGATAAACAAGAACGTAGTAGCCGTTGCAGCAATATTTTTCCATTGCGGACTCTACAAAAGCATGAATTTTTGGGAAATTTCAAGATCTCTCATACTAGACTTGATGTCTAAAACAAGGTCAGTACTCAAAGCTGGATTGTCAGATTTTCTTCAAATTTGCAATACGCATTCTATTTAGGTTATAACGCAATGACTGAAAATTTTGGCTCGATCTTTGCGACAAGAGTCGAGATATTTAACGATCTTTGCAGATCAGAGATCATGGAAAATGAGGAGAGACAAAAAGTGATTTCCGCCCATATCTTTTCGAATTGGCCTCGGAAAAAAATAATTTCTGGTAGAAATGTTACTCGCCAGATTCTTAACAAGCCCTGAAATTTTCAAAAGCTTAAAATTAAAAAATTTTTTTTTGATTTTTTGACATTTTTTCCGAAAAAACCTCGATGTTTTCTAAAAAGCACGAAATAAAAATGTCGCATATGATGTAAAAAAAATTCTGCTATCAATTTGCCCTAGGTTTCATCAAAAAATAAGATACGAAATTTAGGGTACCCCCTGAAAAAATTAAATACAAAATTTAAAACTTTCTTTTTTTGACTTATAAAATTTTTAAAAAAAACTTTCGATACGAATCCGACAAATCCACTTGAAACTACATCAAAAAAATCCACTCTGACTAAAGCGCAGTAACCAATTTTCCCACTCTCCCACAAAAAAAATATTTTTCGCCGAGATCTGGGCATGGGTAAAGTGGAGGGGGGAGGACAAGACCCCCGTCATCGGGAGGAGCGTTCGTTCGGTCGCTTTCTCTCTCTCTCCGCTCTCTTCTCCACTGGTCAAACAAAAATGTGGATGCCAATTCTTTTATTTTTTTTTTGTTTTTCTCTCATTCGAGAGTGCTGCGGGAGAAATGCGCGGGTGTTGGATTTCGTATACGAAATTGGTGTAAGCAGCGAATTGGACGGGATAGGGGTCAAGTGAGAGGATGAGCAAGGGGATCAGTCGTGACAACAGAAAGCTGGGATGTTAAGGGGGGCTTTTGGAGCGGAAAACGGTAAGTTGTAATAACTTTTAGGCTTACAAGGGAAGTACCCCAAGTGCGACGCTCAGATTTTCTTTAAATTTTGCACACACGTCGGGTATGGACTAGGTATCAATTCCTGAAAGCTTTAGCTCGCGCTTTGCAAGCGCCGCCGAGATATTGAACGATCTTTGCCGCCGAGAGAGCATGCTAAGCGCGGAGAGCGGTCAGGGAGAAAAACACTTTTTGGCCATAACTTCGCTAGTTTCGTACGGGAAAAATTCATTTTTTGTGGAAGCATTACCCATCACAATAGAAATACGCATGAAACTTTTCGTGTCGAAATTCGGTAAAAAGTCTCAAATTTTCGCCAACTTTGGATCTAAAAATCTCGGTTGTTTCTGCAAAGCGCGAGGTAAGATTCTCGCATATATCTTAGAAAAAATTATTCTAAATTTGTGCCAAGTTTCATCGAAATCTGAGCGTCGCACTTGGGGTACTTCCCCTGTTAATTTTGAAGTTTCAAAAGGGTGAGAAGTAAAAAAATTTAAGCCTAAAACGAGAAGTCAAATTTCAGGCTTAAAAAATTAGGCTTAGGAGATTTTAGCCCTAAAATTTTCTAAGAGACTCAAAAACCTTTTTACATATAAAATATTTATTTTCAACTATGCCTTTGTCAAACTTATCAAGACTTGTACGACAAAAGCTGCCAAAGATTGGATTTTTTTGAGGTCTTCATGGTGGAAAATTGGCTTTGACCCGAAGTTCGATTTGCTGACAAAAAGAATGAGAGACGGTCAGAGACAAAGCCCGATGTAATCTCCTCACGTCAAGTGTAAATTAATTTGCTGTAACAACTTCTTGAGTATAAATACAGAGATGGTTTTATCTAAAAACTCAAAAAAAAAATGGTATTTTTCTAGCTATTAGAAACCTCGATACAAGTCCGTTCGTAAAGTCGCTGGAGTGATTTTAGCGACATGCCCTGTGCGAAAACAAAAGTTTTCCTTTTTGCACTGCGCAATTTCTTGCTTTTTGCACCGTGCAATGGGCTTTTTTCGGGTGTCGCTCGCACCCTGGCCAGGGGTGGTCAGCGTACCCTATTTTTCCGATTTTCGGCCCGCGGCCCGGCCCGTCTAATTACCGGCCCGGCCCGGCCCGTCTAGTCTTTTTCCAGGCCCGGCCCGGCCCGTCTATAGAGGGCTCTGCGAACTGCGCCCAGGCTCGGGATCTAAACCGAGGCAAAAAAGGCGTTCATCTAGCTAGTAAAGGATCAATGTGAAAGTTTTGTGGTTCTATAAT